TCGCTCTGTGCAGTCATTGACACATGCTAAATGACGACCAACAGTGCTTGCAGTTAGGTAAAACTGATTCTCACGCCACGATTCAACTGGAAGATTTAAGAAGCTGTCATCAAGCTGCATTATGCTGAACAGTGATTTTGATATCTGTAGATCAGAAATGCTGGTCGGAAGGGCTGTCAGGAGGTGTGACCCACGTTCATTGTAATTTTCGTCACCAGCAGGCGCTTGTCATCAATTGTCGCCAAGTCAGGGAACAGAGCCAGGCTGGCCAATTCTGGTCAAGAACCAAGAAACAACTGTTCTGTTCTGTTCTGTTCTGGTAACAGCTGTTCATAAGCATTTGTAGCACTTTGAAGAACAGACAACTTTTGTGTGCGAAGATTAAACATGAAATGTCGCATAACGTTGTGTGCTGATGGTGAACGAGCACCAACTATTTGTTCACTTACAAGTCCTATCAACCATACTTCTCATAGCGTGTTTTGCAGTAGCACTCATGATACACATAACAGTCAACAACACAAGCTCACTGACTGTTTCTGGTAACAAATGACAAAATTCTAATTTCTTGCAGCTTTAAGAACTTTATAAACACAATCATGACATCATCAAAGCAAAGAATATTTAATTACACTCAACACACTGTTAATAAATAAGTAATTTTGTGTGGGGTATATTATATACAGTGTTGTACACTATGAAGTTACAACAGTCCAAAGTAAGAAAAATGTTCATTCTCAATAGGTAAAATTTCAAAATTTGACCCTTTTGGGGCACCCCTAAATAATTAGGTTCAAAATTTTTCTCTGAGAACAACTTACCTATAGGTAACTTTTTGGAGGGTGAGACTTATACTTTTCAACAGTTTTAGTTTTTTGGGACACATTACTGTGGAGGATCCATTGACCTGTTACTCTTCATGGACCCAAAGCTGAATACAGGAGAATCTGACCTCTCCTTCTGTATCCTATAAAAGGCCACTCCAGCACATCAATCTAATGTAATTAATATGAGAGACTTTGATTTTCTGTAGCTTCCATGTTCTTCCCATGTCACAGATAGGCTAAGTGATGTCTCTAAATTGGACAAAGACTATGACTATGTGAGTGACGGTATGCTATACAGGTGTATACCCCATCCAGTATGTACCCCAGCCGTGTGCCCTGTGATAGACTGGTATCCCATCCAGGATGTACCCCAGCCGTGTGCCTTGTGATAGACTGGTATCCCATCCAGGGTGTACCCCAGCCGTGTGTCCAGTGATAGCCTGGTATCCCATCCAGATTGTACCCCAGCCGTGTGCCCTGTGATAGACTGGTATCCCATTCAGATTGTACCCCAGCCTTGCAACCTGTGATAGACCGGTATCCCTTTCAATGTGTACTGCTGCCCCAGATTAGATCTAGTCCCCTCTGAAACCCAGACCAGGATAAGTGAGTGTGAAAAAAATGAACAAAACCTACATGTTGCAAATGGATGTTGATAAAAATTCAATGAACAAGACAAGACAACTGCAATATACTTTAACAAACCTTATTATTATATAATCATATTATTATATAATTATAATTATATAAT